ATGCTGGAATGTCCGTGCCAATTCCAGTATATAGGGAGAACCAAAAGGAATTTATGTGTGAGACTTGAAGAACATGTCAGGAATATCATAAAAGGTAAAAAAAAAAGATCACAGTGTCTCGAGACATTTTAAGGAATTCCACAATTCAGATCCGAGCTTGTTGAAATTTTGTGGAATTGACACTGTGGAAGGACATTAGAGAGGGGGCAATAGAGTCCAGAAACTGTCACAGAAGGAAACGTTTTGGATCTTTCGGCTAAATGCATTAAAACCTAAGGGATTAAATATAGAGTTAGATTTAAAAATTGTTTTATTTCAGATAGATAAAAATATGGGGCTAAATAATTTCTATTGGAGTCTGAAGGAGTAGGTTTTTTTATATATATTTTTTCTATTTTTTTATATATATATTTTTATATATATATTTTTTCTATTTTTATTTATACTTTTATATTTTATTGATTTTTTATTTAAATATCATGAGCGGTGGTTATATTAATAAGGGCATTTGTCAGTAATAAATTACTGTAGTCATTGGGGTTTTTGAATTTATTGTATGTGCAGATTGGTATATTTTAATGTGTATGATAAAAAGGATCAGTATTGTAATATTGTAGAAAGGGTTATATTTAGAATGACCACTAGAGGGAGTATTTGGTATTTTTGATATATTTGATGTACCTAGTATGGTTAATATATTTAATATATATTTAATTAAATTATTTAGGAGTTTTATTTAAATTTTATTTAAATCTATTGTATTCTATTTGGAGGTATATTTAGATTGGGTGGATTATCTAGTTATGAAATAAATATGTTAGTATTGTATATGGGTAAGAAGATAGGTTTGATATATGTATAGTGTATAGGCTAGATGGGTTTATATCTGGAGAGGTGTGGAGTGTATAGTAATCATGTGTGACATATGAATATGATTTTAAAGAAGTTATCCGGTATTTGCAGGTCTGTAGTGAGTGAGATGGGGTTTTGTGATATTTTCCCTCATCCAAAATGGCGGAGATAGCCTCATCCCATTGAGAGACAGTAGGATTTAAGGAAGGCCAATGGGACGTCGGTATCCCTTCAGACGAAGTCCGGAAGTGACGAAACGCGTTAGAGGAGTGACGTCATCACGCGCACACACGCTAACCGGAAGTGTCGCCCGTGGCCATTTTGTTGGTTGGAAACATGTGGTTTTCAACCTAGGATTTTAATGATTAGTGCTGGAAGCTGGATATCCCTGTTTTATATGTAAGTTTCTATTAAAATCTGTTCCTTTTTATGGATCCTGCCTAAAGAGCCTTTCTTTACTTGCATGAGGAATACCCCTGAAAATGAAGGATTGAGAGATACCGTTTCTTTATGTCAGTTTTATGCCTGAAAATATTGGAAGAGGGTAATGGTACTTGGTATCACTTTTGGCTGGAGTTTAAAGGGTACTAGTACCTAGTATCACTATTCACTTGTGGTTGGAGTGATCACGATTTTTCACGTTTTTGGTTTTTATTTTTTTTTAATTTTTTATTCATTATTTATTTGGATTGATATTTAATTAATTTAATTTAATTTGCACAATTTTGATGTGTTTTGTGTTGTGCACAGAGTGAAGTATATAAGTCTATATTTTAAGGGTAATACACTATGAATTTTTTTCTTTTCTTTTTTCTTTGAGGTTATCACGGAGTATTTTGAATCGTTTTTGCTTCACTGGATTTATAAGAAAATATTTTTGGAAATAATTTTTGGGACTTGGACACTTTGGGGTTTACTAATATATTTTTAGATATATATATTTATTCTATTTACTTGGAATTATGTGTGGTTTTATTTAAACATATTATATTTGGAGGTATTTTGGGGGATTTATATGTGTATTACCTTGTCATTTGATCCTGTTTTAGGACCGAGACTACCGGGGATGCCCAGACTCTAGCTTACCCCTGGATTCCAGACTGCGCCATTCCCTCTGTCTCTTTGGCCCATTCAGCTTGCACCTCCTGGGTTTCTGAGAATCCAGACACCATCTAGCATAGGCATTGCCAGCAGCTTCGAGAACTGAGTGGAAAGGGGAGGGGATTGGGGCTGAGGGCCACAGCCCCCTCTCTGAGATCCGAGGATCAACCCCAATAAGGCCCCTCGCACTCCCTCTCCAGGTGTGCTGTCATCGCCCAGGGCACATGTTTGTCTGCCTGTTGACACACCATGACAGGTCAGCTCAGATGACATGCTTTCAGGCTTCCAGCCCCCTGTGGATAGGCCATTCATCCTGTCAGGCCTTTGTTTACTCTCCCCAGCAGGGGAGTGCACATTTAGCTAGAGGCTGAAATCCCCATATGAATGGCTTTCCAGGGCTGCCTTACTTGTGGAACTACAAGTCCCAGCTAGCTGGCCTCTGAAAGTCCTTGGTGGATCGCTTTTCAGTGCCGCCTTATGCGTGGAACTACAAGTCCCAGCCGGCTGCCCAGTACCATGCAAGGCCAACGGCTGGGCACTCATCAAGGCACGATCTTTTAGGCCTGGACAATGAACAGGCCTATCCAGACCATCCATTTGCTCAGCCCCCAGAGGTTGTACCTCTGCCCCCTCCACAGCACTGTGGGTGACCCCCAACAATGAAAATGCATCATTTGTTTCATCATGACCAAAATAAACATCATTAGCGTTACCAACAGTATCATCAACATTATTGACATTATCATCAACATTACTGACATTATTAATATCATCCTCATCGTCATCATTATCTTTATCAACAGTCACGTTATAATATCAATGACACATGAGTTCGATACCTCCCCAGGCAAGGGGCTTTCTTCTTGTTCTCCAGCTAATGGAGAATCCTGTAGCCCCACTTCATTCCCAGCCCCCTCCATCTGTCCATCCACAGGCTGCCCAGACATTACCCCAATATCTGCACACAGTACCTTGGCATGTCCAGAGAGTTCTTTCGTGTATTCTCGGCAGGGACATAATAAACAAGAGTGCCTAGATCAGCACCCAACAAAACAGGTATGGGAATTTCCTCCGAGACCCCCACCTCCCTCATCCCCCTTCCCGCACCCCAATCTAGGAATACCTTTGCACAGGGTATGCGTGAACGGGTCCCCCCCAACTCCTGTGAGGGTAAGGAACTTTCCTGGGATGAGGTTCCTTGGCTCGATTACCTCTGGCCAGATCAAGGTGACTTCTGCCCTGGTGTCCCAAAAACCAGTTACAGACCGGTTGCCCACAGTGACTGACTGCAAGTTGGCGGGGGTTACCCGCATCTTCCTGCGAACGAACAGCAGGGAAGAAGAGTTGCTGGCCAGATGAAGTCGTCAGCTTCTGCTCAGGACACTGCGTCCTGAGATGTCTGGCTTTCCCAGAGGTGAAACATCTATGGTTGTCAGGCAGGGATGGCTTGGCTCCAGGGGCTGCAGGTGTGGGCGGTGGTGAATCTTGACTCACCAGCGTAGGTGAGGTTGCTAGTGGCGATTTCCCCCCTTTCCAGCTGTTCGGAGGAGCCTTGCAATAGTCAGACACTCGCGTATATACAAAGGTATCTGCCAAATCGGCTGCAGCTTTAGCAGAGGCTGGTTCTCTTTCTAAGACGAACTGCCTGACGTCTGCCGGGCAGATGTGTAGGAGTTGGTCTCGGATCATGAGATCTTCCAAAAACTCGTAGGAGTCAGCTTTCAGTCCTTTAGTCCACTGTCGGAATGTGGTGCATAAGCGACTCACCACATCCGTGTAAGAGTCCCCAGGTCCCTTCTGCATGGACCTGAACCGCTTGCGGTACACTTCCGGAGTCATCTGGTACTTCCGGATGATGGCATCTTTTAAAACTTCATAATAATCGTCCTACCCCTCTGGCAATTCAACAAATGCTTCCAGGGCCTTGCCTCGTAGCCCTGGTGTCAGGTACCGAGCCAATTGTGTTTGGGGCACGTGGTACTGACGGCACGTTTTTTCAAATGACAGTAAGTACGTGTCAATGTCACTATCTTTTTCCATCACTGGAAACTTGGCGGCTGTGCCCACTGCCAGAGTGGCGTCCCTGTGCTCTAGGGACCCGGGGTTCTGCACCTGTCGCTGTGGCTGGAGCCTTGCCATCTCCAGCTCATGCTGACGATCAGCTTCCCTCTGCACCGCCTCTCTCAGCCGCTCTTTCAGCTTGGCGTTCCGCAGCTTCTCTGTCAGCCGCTGCTTGGCGTTCCGCAGCTTCTCTGTCAGCCTGGAGTTCAAAGAACCGCAGGTATGCCTCAAGATCTGTCTCCATAAGGCGTTTCAGGGCTTCCTTCATCTGAGGAGAGTCTCTGCTGGTTACAGGCACTCTGGTGCTGGCCCGCTCAGGCGGTGGTGTGACGATACCATTTGGTGATCTTCCAGTGTCAGTCTCTGTATGCCCATCCTGCGAGGCCGTCTTTGAGCCACTGGGAATGTGAGTAGTGGGAACCCCTTCATGTTCAAGTTCCCCCGAGTTCTGATCTGCTTGGATATCATACTCCACTAGATCACTAATCAAATCTTCATGATTTTTGCAACCGACGTCCAATCCTCGTGAGGTACATTCCGCCTTCAAATCACCTTTGCCCATTTTCTCGTATTCTGCAGCACCAGGCATGATTGCAAGCAAAGATAGAATGGAAAGTAGAAAAAAGCAAGGAGCTGTTGCTATATGTCTCTCTCTCTCTATATACAGTATATATAAAAAATATGCACCACTTGTTTCTAAGGACTGTTTCCACAAAGGTTACAATCCTTCAGTGCGGAGCCAATTTTTAACACTGCACTGAAGCCCTTAATGCAACTATCCCACTGCTGCCACCAATATGTCACGATCGCGGCGTCAGACCCCAGACAATCTTACCAAACTCGTGACCGAAGGACTTGCCAATCTAAAACCGCGATGTGACATGCGTAACAATGCCACACCCAGCTGCACCCTGCACAACGATTTCCCAGCTAATGGGCCACAATTGATGTAACACCGGCAGCCTGCGCGATTGTTACTGGGTCAGGTTAATTACGCAATTAACCCTTCACACTGCCACCACCTCCTTTTTGTACAGAGAAAGAGGAAACTCGGCGTTATCAGCTATAACACTATAATGATTGAAATAATCGACTGCATAACACGGTCATAACACAGGCCTGTTATACAGAGGGTTAAACAAACAGTAGCATTCTCTTTAGAGGCAGGGATTCGTAAATTGCAATACAGAGCTATAGAAACAGTTCAACGCTTTCAGAAAGAAAGATTTATTACTAAAAGGTCAAACGGGTGCAATAAAAATATTCACAGAAAAAAGATGTAACTAAAATATACAGTTGTGTTCAAAATAATAGCAGTCAGACATCACTAATCTTGATCACTGTTTTTGGTAGAAATGATATTTCTACATGGCAAATAATTTACTAGCAGGTGTAGTAGAGTAATAGAAATCCAACAGACCCAATAATCATGACATGCATGCTGCTGATTCTGTGTAATTGAATCACTAATTGAAAGGGGCATGTTCAAAATAATAGCAGTGTGGAGTTCTATTAGTGAGGTCAGTCATTCTTTCAAAAAACAGGTGGCAATTATTGCCCTTATTTAAGGAAGGAAGGCAGCAAATGTTGTACATGCTGGTTACAGTGCATTTCTCTCTGAAATTCTGAGCAAAATGGATCGTTCCAGACATTGTTCAGAAGAACAGTAAGAAGCCCCCGCAAAGTCCCACTGTTGAAAAAAAGACGTGCTGAAGAGGTTACAGTTTGCCAAAGAGCTCATTGACTGGCCTAAAGAGAAATGGCGCAACATTTGTGGACTGATGAAAAGTAAGATTGTTCTTTTTGGGTCTAGTGGCCAGAGACAGTTTGTCAGACGACCCCCAAACACTGAATTCAAGCCACAGTACACTGTGAAAACAGTGAACCATGGTTGCGCAAGCATCATGATATGGAGATGTTTCTCATACTACGGTGTTGGGCCTATTTATCGCGTACCAGGTGTGGGAACTCGCTTCAAAGTGGTAGAGCTGCTTCAAAGTGGTAGAGCTTCTTCAAAGCACACAGCAACTCACTTCTTTTTAAGGGCCTTTTTGCCCAATTTTATTTAAAGGAAAGAGTTCAATAACCAAAATGCTTCCCACGCAGGGGTATCCACCATCACACAAATGTAACAAATGTCAGCCTTCTGGCTCTCTCAGGTATACCGCTTTATGTCTGTTTCCTGCAGACTCCTTCCAAAAGGTTGTTTTGTGCACACAGCAAACCTCTAGCACACAGCTAGTCTGGCTTTCACCTCTCCTTGGTGAAGCCCACCTGACTCCAAGGCAGAGACCTCCCGTCTGCTGGGGTGGAGCCCTTCTGACTCCTATCTGCCGGGGTGGAGCCCAGAATCATGGCCTGGCCTCCACAAAAAGGCCTGCACACACCTGTGCAATCAGCACGCTGGCTGCTCTCAAAACATGGGCCCAGGACTGGAGATTTCATCCCTCCCAAATCTCTTAGAAATCTCCAAGCTACACATCCCAAAACAGGCTTTACAAACCAAAGAGGAAACCAATAAACCCGTTTCCTCTGCATTATGAGAACTGCCTGGAGCCCCTCAACCTGTATGGTTGAGAATCCTGGGTCACCACTGTGATTTCCACCGTGGCAGGATACCACACTGCCACACAGGGATCATGGATCAGTTTGAATACATCAGAATACTTGAAGAGGTCATGCTGCCTTATGCTGAAGAGGAAATGCCCTTGAATGGGTGTTCCGACAAGACAACGACGTTATGGAGTGGCCAGCCCAATCCCCAGATCTTAATCCAATAGAAAACTTGTGGGGTGACATAAAAAATGCAGTTTCTGAGGCAGAACCAAGAAATAGAGAAGAACTGTGGAATGTAGTCCAATCATCCTGGGCTGGAATACCTGTTCACAGGTGCCAGAAGTTGGTTGACTCTATGCAACACAGATGTACAGCAGTTCTCAGAAACAGTGTTTATACAAATAAATATTAACTAAGTGATTCAAAGGAAAGCAAAATCTTCAAACGTTTTTCAGTTTATATAGTGAATGTTTGAGTTTGTAAAGAAGAATACAAACACTGCTATTTTTTTGAACAGTCTAATATTCACTTTTGTTCAATTTTTTAAAGGAACAACACAAATTTGATATATTTTTCTTCATGTTTTGATTTGGAATAGAATGTGTAGTGTGCCCAATGCATTTGTGTGTATGGAAATAAAAGCTATTAAAAGGATTTTGAGCTTTATTCACTTTTTTCAACACACTGCTATTATTTTGAACACAACTGTATATATCAACATACAAAGAACCATAGTACAGCAAAGAGATATCAGAGGGAGGTGAAGGGGTTGAGGTACTTGCCAAAGTCCTGGGTTAGCAGATCCAAGTTTCAGAGCAAGAGGGCACGTGTCTCCCCAGATGGTATTGATGTTAAAAATGGGAGATATCTTCAACTTTTTCTCTTAGGCCTGACAGCCCAATTTGTAGTTCCCCAGCAGGGGGTGTCTCTGACGACACGGACCAATACCCAGTGTAGGCGTGGAGGTCTGGGTGTCGACCTAAACTAGAGCCAAAATCTTGTCTAGTTCCTATTTGGGCTCATAACTTTTCCTATACAGAAGTGACATTCCACTCACGGGTAGATTATTATGCAGACAAGTCTGAGGATTGATTAGATATGAATTATGAAAGTGTACACTGAACGGTTCGTGAGATCTATTTTTCTGCTTTCCTGTGTGTCCAAGACAAGGCAGAGTGACCCATCAAACTGTTCGCCTGCTCATCGTCCATCTGACAATATGTTCGGTTTTTATGTAAGTCTCTCATATTCCAAGATATGTGACATAGGGAAAAAATGGTTTTAACCGAGGTTATCTGATTCTGTCACCTACGCTGAGTTAAGTTTTATGAGGTTGGAATCTCTCTCAACTCTGGAGAAAGCTTGCCTTATCTCTTCCGAGTTGTGAAATGGCACAGGTTCTTGGGACAGTGAGGCACCTCGTGGCTCCCTGCTGGGATCTGGCCTGTGACACTTTTAACACACACACATCTGTCACTGCCTCTCAGAGTGAGAGGGGGGGGGAAGAATTAGGGAATAACATGGCTACTCTTAACAAAATGGCAGACTGCGTCAGTTTCTGGTGCGCATGTTTGCGACAGTTAGCGCTTTTGCCTGGCAGTACTAGGGTCATTGGTTCGAATCCCAACCACTGCACCACCTGCCTGGAGTTTGCATGTTCTCCCTGTGCTTGCGTGGGTTTCCTCCGGGTACTCCGGTTTCCTCCCACACTCCAAAGACATGCTAGTAGGTTAATTGGCTCCTGTCTAAATTGTCCCTTGTATGTGTATGTATGAATGTGAGTTAGGGACCTTAGATTGTACACCCCTTGAGGGTTAGGAACCAGGGGCAGACTGACAACTCATGGGGCCCCCCCGGGCAGTAGGGGATCATGTTGTCCGTGTCCTTGCCCAAACTCAAAAAAGCCTATGAAAAAGGTACCAGGGGCATCTCATGGGGCCTCCTACTGACCCCGGGCCCTCGGGCAGTGCCCGAGTTTCCAAATGGTCAGTCTGCCCCTGTTAGGGAATGATGTGAATGTACAATATATATGTAAAGCGCTGTGTAAATTGATGGCGCTATATAAGTACCTGTAATAAATAAATAAATAAATAAAATAATAAAATAACTAATGCGGAATTTTAGTAGCATTTACTGTTTTTATGACCTTCGGAACGGATTAATTGGTTTTCAATGCATTCCTATGGGAAACAGTGTTTCGGTTTATAAATTTTTCGCTATATGAAATGTCCTTCAAAACAAATTAAATTTGTAAACCGAGGTACTGGTACATCACTAGACTTTGAATGGTTATACCAGGATGTTGCCTACAGCTGCAGGCATCGTCCTGGTATCGATTTTTTCAGGACGGCGATCAGCTTTCATGTAAAAGCAGTCCTAGTGGCTAATTAGCTGCAGGATTGCTTTTACAAGCAGCGGGAGACGTTGCCCTACTCCCCCACTGCCTTCCACGGCCTTCTCAAGCAGTCACGTGCCATCAGGGCAACCTGAGAATGCAGCTGGTGTTTCTGCCAGCTGACCATAGAGCTGATTGGAGACCAGAATGGTGCCAATCATCTCTATAGCCTAAGAAATCAGAAGCTACGAGCATTTCCTCACTTCAGTTTCACAGAATATAAACAGCGCCATTTATAAATTGGGAAAGCATCTGATCACATCGATCTTGGTGTGATTAGATAATGTAAGGGCAGAGGAGATATCTAGTGTCTGACAGACCCCAGATTTCTCAAAAAAGAATATATGACAATGCCCATTGAAGTTATAGGGGATATTTGCATTCCCTGTGATAGCATTAAAAGTGATACAAAAAAAATGAAGGGGACAGTGTAAAAACAATTAAAAAAAAATAAAAAACTTAAAAAAGTACCCTTGCCCCCCCCCCCCCCCCCCACGCATGCAAACATCTGCGTTCGTGATCGTTGACCCTGTGCCAGTATGGAAACAGTGGTTGCACCATGCATGTGAAGTATTGCCAAGAACGTCAGATCAAGGGCAGTAATTCTAACACTAGACCTCCTCTAAAATAGTAGCTTGTAAAGGCTTTTAAAATGTTGCCTATGGATATTAAAAACGTATGCAGTTTGTTGCCATTGCACGGGGCATGCACAGTTTTAAAGCATGTCATGTTTGGTATCTATTTACTTGGCATACCATCATCTTTTATATTTTACCAAATAATTGGCCAATATTTTGTGTTTTTGTGCATTAAAAGTAAATAAAAGTGTATTTTTTTTAAAGATTGTGTTTGAAAAATCTCTGCGCGAGTACTATGTGACATAAAAAATTACAGCACCCACCATTTTATTTACTAGGGTGTTTGCTTTAAAAAATGTATATAATGTTTGGGGTTTAAATTAATTTCCTAGCAAAAAATACAGATTTGTGAACAAAAAGTGTCAGAAAAGGCTTGGTCTTCAGGTGGTTAGAAGAGTGAGTGATGTGTGGCATAAACTTCTAATGCTGGGCATAAAATGCCCCCACCCCCCAAAACGACCCCTTTTTGGAAAGTAGACACCCCAAACTATTTGCTGAGAGGCATGTTGAATCAAGAGAAGAATTTATTTTTTTTACCACAAGTTTTTGGAAAATGACAAACATATAAATAATTTTTTTTTTTACACAAAATTGTCACTTAAATGATTTATTGCTCACACATGTCATGGGTATATGTGGAATTACACCCCAAAATACATTCTGCTACTTCTCCCGAGTATGGGGGTACCACGTGTGAGAGACGTTTTGGCAGTCTAGCCAAGTACAGGACCCCAAAATCCAATAAACACCATCACGCTTTTAAAGGGCTTTATTTCCTCATTACACTTCCTGACTACCTATCACAGTTTCAGAGGCCCTGAATTGCCAGGATAGCACCAAACCCCCCCCCCCCCCAAATGACCACTTTTTGGAAAGTAGACACCCCTAGGAATTTAATCAGAAGCATGGTGAGTATTTTGCAGATCTCGTTTGTTGCCACAAGTTTTTGAAAATTGAAAAAAAATATTTTCTGTTCATTTCTTATATTTCAAACCCTTGTGAGAAAAAATGAGATCTGCAAAATACTCACCATGCCTCTTTTTAAATTTCTTGGGGTGTCTACTTTCCAAAAAGGGGTCATGGGGGGGGGGTTGGTGCTATCCTGGCATTTCAGGGCCTTCGAAACTGGGATAGGTAGTGAGGAAGTGAAATAAGGAAGTTACGCACCTTCAGGCTTTCGAAGTGGTCATTGGATTTCAGGCTCCTGTATGTGGCTAAGCTCCCAAAAAGTCTCACACATGTGGTACCCCCATACTCGATAGAAGTAGCAGAATGCATTTTGGGGTGTAATTCCACATATGCCCATGGCTTGTGTGAGAAATATATCATTTAAATGACAACTTGACAAAAAAAAAAAAAAAAGGTTTTTGTCATTTTCTAGAAACTTGTGAAAAAAAAAATAAATCTTCCATGGAACTCAATATGCCTCTCAGCAGATAGCTTAGGGTGTCTACTTTCTGAAAAGGGGTCATTTAGGGGTGTTTGCACTATCCTGGTATTTTAGCACCTCAAGAAATGTGATTGTCAGTCAGAAAGTAAAAGCTTTGTAAATTCCATTTACCTATACCAGGCCTTGAAATTTCCACTCGCCTGCTCGCCAATGGCGAGTGGAGATTATGGTGGGGGTGAGTGTGTCCCCCAGGGCCGTCTTGCTGAGCAGGCTCGGAGCTCAGGCTGGATCTGTCATTGGCACTGGGAGCCGTGAGACTGCTCAATAGCTGAGCGCAGTGAAAGCAAAGGAAGGAGTGTGTGCTGTGCTCTCTGCCTCCCCCTAGAGTGCAGTACCCGGCTCTGTGAGTTAACGAAGTACTGCAACTTTATATAGGGTGTGTGTGTGTGTCTGTGTATGCATGTCTGTGTGTATGTACATGTGTCTGCATGTATGTACATGTATGTGTGTGTGTGTTTGTGTGTATGTACGTACATGTGTCTGTGTGTATGTAATGTGTCTGTGCGTGTGTATTTCTGTGTATTTACATGTATCTGTGTGTATACGTGTCTGTATGTGCCTGTGTGTGTATACATGTGTCTGTATGTGTGTGTACATGTTTCTGTGTGTGTGTATGTACATGTCTATGTATGTGTACAGGTCTCTCTGTTTGTGTGTGTTTGTTTGGTGGCGAGTAACTCTTAAGGCCTGGCTAGTAGCTCAGGACTTGAAATTTTAAGCCCTGATCTATACCATAGTTTGTAGACGCTACAACTTTTACACAAAGCAATCAATATACACTTATTGGGATTTTTTAACCAAAAACATGTAGCAGAATACATTTTGGCCTAAATTTATGATGACATTTTCGTTTTTTTGGATATTTTTTATGACAGAAATGAGAAAATATTGTTTTTTTTTTTAAAAAAAGTATTTTTACTCAAACATTTTTGTGTTTATAGTGCCAAAAATAAAAAGAGCAAGGTGATCAAATACCACCAAAAGAAAGCTCTGTTTGTGTGAAAAAAAGGACATACATTTCATTTATGTACCGTATTGCATGACCGCGCAACTGTCAGTTAAACTAGTGCAGCGCTGTATAGCAAAAAAATGGTGTAAATTGCAGTATCTATACCATAGTTTGTAGACGCTATAACGTTCACACAAAGCAATCAATATACACTTATTGGGATTTTTTTTACCAAAAACATGTAGCAGAATACATTTTGGCCTAAATTTATAACTAACTTTGAGTTTACTATATATTTTTTATAGCCGAAAGTAAAAAATATTGTTTTTTTTTCAAAATTTTTGGTCTTTTTTGTTTATAGCGCAAAAAATAAAAAGCACACAGGTGATCAAATACCACCAAAAGAAAGCTCTATTTGTGTGGGGGAAAAAAAAGGACATAAATTTTGTTTGCATACAGCATTGCATAACCGCACAATTGTCAGTTGAATTAGTGCAGCGCCGAGTAGCAAAAAGAGGCCTGGTCATTAAGAGGGTAAATCCTCTGGAGGGGAAGTGGTTTTTAACTATGTTCCTTTTGTACATGACTGCCGTTGATTGTTGCGATCCTATTTATGTACTATTAAGCAGTTGAAACTGTATTTTGTACTTAAAAAAATACCAAAAACACAATAAAAAAAATGATTGAAAGGAAATGAACAGGACTCCCTATCTATGTGGTGAGAAAGCTGCACGCCTTCACCTCAGCGCTGAAGGAAGCTGCTATTTCACAACTTGCCCACTAGATGTCAGCATCACATTACCGGCTAAATCGGTGGTCACATGACACCGATCAGCTGGTTCGTCACTTCTGGTCCAAGATGGCTGCGCTGAGAAGGAGTCTGCTTCAGACAGTAAGAAAGGGGGAGGGGGGCCTCTGGAGGGCTGATAGAGGCTCAGAACTTGTTTATGTACAAAAGATTCGCTCGGAAGTGCGCAGGCTGCTCAGGAGGTTGTGTCAGAAGAGTAGTGAGATATTTCTGGAAATCTGTGCATGTAGTGAATAGCAGACATGGGTGTTCAGGCAGATGGTATTATTATTATTAGAAATGTACACTGACTGAGAAACTCTTCAGGTTGAAGCATTATTTTTGTATATTTCTATATATACACAAGTGAGTTTTATAGTGTGTCCCTAGCTCGTGTCAGCAGGAGGCGATTAGTTCTCTGGCTCCATTCACAGCGCAGTGTACGCAGGTAAACGCACGTGTGGACATGCTGTGTTGCGTCTTGCCATGCACTGCAATATTGGGGTTTTTTTAAGCTTCTGTAACAATTATTTGTAAAGGAAATGTCAGCGGATTGTTTCTTGCTTCTGTGCGTTTCCACATGTTGGAGAAATCAAAGAGGAGGAACAGCTCTACTTTCACTGGTGTGAACTGCTTCTTTTGTATTTACAATGTATATGTGCAGATCAATGCATGTCAGCACATTTGGTGTGAATGGACCCTAAAATTGCTGTCATAAAATGATAATCCATGACAGCTCTTTCACCCTATACTGCCATTATAGTGGAACTTTAACCTTCTATCCAGCAATGTGGCATCCTGGAGCTCCCTGCCAGCCTGTCGTCGTAGGTTGGTCGGCTTCCAGGTACCGATTTTTGTCCGTTTAAATTAGCAGGGCCAAGGTGACGTCACTCAGTGTACAGGGGAGGAGAAGACGGTAAGAAACTTTGGTGCAGACAAGACATAGTGGGGGAGATTTACTAAATCTAGTGCAGCTGTGTATGGTAGCCAATCAGCTTCTTGCTTCAACTCATTCAATTAAAGTAGAACTATAGGCATGTGTATGTATGAACCTTAGATTGTACCCTCCTTGAGGGCAGGGACTGATGTGAATGTTCAACATGTGTAAAGTGCTGTGTAAATTGATGGTGCTATATAAATACCTGTAATAAAATAAATAGGCATTTTTTTCCATTTTGGATAGAATGAGGAAGGGTTATAACCACTGTGAGATATATATATATATATATATATATATATATATATATATATATATATATATTTATTTTTTTTTTTTTTTTATTTTTTTATTTTTTTTTCCTCTGTATCCCATTGTGAAGATTTTACCATCACTTCCTGTCCCATAGCCAAAACAGTAAACTAGAGGAAATTCCTACAAACTAAGAGAATTCACCAGAACTAGTGTTTCCACTGACATAATTCCCTCTGTTACTTTTCTGGGGACAACCCAAAATTTGGGACTTTCTTTTACTTTCACTTTCAATGATAATGGTAACCTAGTAGAGAGGGTGAAGTAGAGAGGGTGAATCTCCTTAACAGGGACAGACAGCAATAAAAACTGAAGCTAATTGGTTTCTATGCAGAGTTGCACCAGATGTTTCACTCTCTAGTTTTAGTAAATAACTCCCAGTATGTCTCTTCTTCATTAAAAATCCTGCCTGTTTGCAATTTTATATATATTAAGTTCCACTTTAAGATATGTTAAAGAGGAACTTTACTTCTCCCCATAATGCCTTTTTTAAACTCCCTTTGACCTGTCATGCAGTTTTGTCCTGCCTTAAAAGAGAAGTAAAAACAATTAAATTAAGAGGCCTTAAAAACAATTATATTCCTCTAGGTCAGTGTTTCTCAACTCCAAGTCCTTATGGACCCCCAACAGGTCATGTTTTCAGGATTTCCCTCAGATGAAACAGCTGTGGTAATTACTAAGGCAGTGAAACTGATCAAATCACCTGTGCAAAATAATGGAAATCCTGAAAACATGACCTGTTGGGGGTCCATGAGGACTGGAGTTGAGAAACACTGCTCTAGGTGGATGCAGCATCAATTCCCAACCCCAGCCCCCACCCCACCCAGCTCTGCAGTGAGAACTGATCAATCAAACACTGCTGATTGCACTGTTCTCCCCTCCACTCTGAGCAGAGAGCTGTGACAGGCATAACAACGCTTTTTACAGTAAAGCCCCAAAAGTATACCGTGTGTTGGATGTAGTGTACAGCTATTTTTTTTTTTTTTTAATGTATGTTCATCCTTTGTATGTAAGGTCATTCATAATGACTAAGCTACCCTAGGCTCCCCATACACAGTCCAAGCTGACCATACAATATTTGTACAATCAACTTTAGATCTACCAAAACTATGTAATATGAGGACCTACCTAAACTGTCCAAACACTCTGTATCCAATCAGGCAGACCGTTGCACCACATACTTTTTGGCAGATCTAAAGGAGATTGTACTGTCAAATTATAACATGTGGTGAGCTTTACTAAAACACATACAAATGTTTCTTAGCAAACCTCAGCAGAATGGACCTTCCAAATAAGTGCCTGTAAAGAAAGGTATTAATACTTGTCCCTCCCACCTACAACTTCAGTTTTGATTCTCTTGAAGAGCAGTGATGGCTGAAGAATCTTTAGTATCCACTCATTTCCAGATGTGTCAGATTCCCCTTACTGAATCCTGCAAAGTGAGGTCATAGATACTAATAAAACCTGACAGAGGTTATAACGCTTTCACTTTCTTCATCTTTGGCAGGATAAGGGTAATGATGTGTATAACCCAGTTTCCAGGCTACAGACATTCGTATATATTCTTTTATTATTTTATATGTTCTTAATCAGTAGATGAGTATTAAAACAAAATCTCCTTTGAACCTCTTTCAGCTGACTCTCAGGGTGTTTTCATTATTACCTGGCTTGTTTTCACAGGATTCCATGAGCTGGACAGATGACCTGCCCCTCTGCCACCTCTCTGGAATTGGATCAGCTACAAACCGGACCTATAACCCTGAGGGGCTGGGAAAGGAAGAACATCCTTGTGAAGACAACTGGCTAAAGTTCAGGTTGGCTATGTGTTGATTCACAGTGTTTAGAAAGTAGTATTTATAGTAATAATATACAAGGAAATAAGATTGTGGATACTGAAAAATACTTATTAACTGTGAAAAACACTCAGAACAATGAATCGTGGCTTTATATTTTGGGCATCCCTGACGTATGATAACAAGCTTCTTCTGACTAATGCAAGTTATTTATGAGATTCTGTACATATAAACAGATGGCATGCAAAATGATTTGGTGTCTGTGCCCAGCCTGCTTTGGAATTGTTGGAAGTTTTGCTATGTTTTCCTGCCCCCAGCACCCCAGCATTGAAATACTAAGGCGTTTGACTGGCAACACAAAGCGTTTAGCATTTTCAGTAGTTCCAAATTTGTATGGCCTTTGAAAGCATTGAGATTCTGTAAGGAGTAAGGGTTTTGTTTTTATTGCATTACTACAATTTTTGAGAGCACATCTTTAAATCATGCAATATAGAATGGTCCATCAATGTTGGTATGTAAATGAATATATAAACATGTTGACCACTTCAGAGGTCCCAGTGCCATAATTTTAAACATATCACTTTTTTTGGTGAAGCCATAACTCAGGAGGGATATTTTATATTAAAAAAAAAAAAACAATTGTTGAGAAAGGACACTGACAAAAGATACATTGCTTATGATGACTATACATGAGTAGCATAATAAGAAATACCACTGATCAGCATGAGCATCATGTTATGTTTAAAAAAACTAAGTTAAAGAATGTTACCCCAACATTCCATATTATTGATTTTCTGTTGTACCTTGTACTTGTATTAAAAAATATCCTGTTTTCTTTGCATTACTTCCTTT